AAGGACAGCATGAAGGGTCCTCTGTGGGCCGTCCCCAGCCCAAAACGGCATCGGGGTGGGCTAAGAGAACCCCCTAAGGAAAGGGGGAGGAGGCATAAGCACCCTCCCCCCCCGTTTTTGCAAAATAGTCTCCCATCTACCCGTGTGTCTGATTTGGGGCCAGCACCAAGCCCTCTTTGCAGGGCTGTTGTTGTTTTTTTTCCACCATTGCACGGGGATTCCCCGATGCCTCGCTTGACTCACCGGACTCCTTTTCCGTTGTGTTTTTTATGTTTTGTGTTTTTTAAAAGCAGTTTCTAATACAAACCAGGATTTTTTCCCCTCCTTATATTTTTATATATATAATATATAAAAGGATGTAAGAAATCAATATCCATCATTGTCGTTAAAAACCACACGCGCAAAAATTGCCCCGCCCACCCCGCCAATATATAGAAATCCATGTACACTCTTCCCCCTCCCGATGAGAAGTTCAACCGGAGAGAGAGAACTGAACGCCCCCCCCCCGAAAAAGTCCTGCGTTAAGAAACCCGTATTAAAAACTTTTTTGCTTGCTTGCGTTTTGCTTTCTCTTTGTGTTTTTTTCCTTTAAAGTTTCTGACAAGAGAAAATTGTGTGTTTTTTTTAAAAAAAAGAAAAACCAACACAAACCACGCGCCCCAAATGAGAAGCCGTCTCTCTGTTCCATCCCGTTGAGACGGCCAAACAGTAATGCTCTTGTGAAGGGAAAGTCCTTTGCTCTCCTCTGGATCGGAGCCCCCGGATCCTTGTTCGCGAGGCGCTTGGGCACGGTGTGTTTTGACACGGGACGGGAACGGCGGCCCAGGCTTCCTCTCCCACCAGAGGCCAGCCAGGGCCTTCTTTGTCCATCTATTTTATTTTTTTTTCTTAAATCCAGTTTTTTTCTTCTTTTAATACAAAATCAGCACCACCCAGAAAGAAGGTTCATTTTGCAGAATAAATTAAAAATGATCCATTGTGTGTTCTGGGGGAAGGGGGGGGGATGACGGGGACAAACATTTAGGTATGTCGGTTGTGTCCCGCCCGCCGTGGCTCGGAGCAGGCGTACGTGAGTGGATCAGAGGCTCAGATGCTATGGAGGGAGGGGGGGGCCCAGGCGAGAACAACCCCCTCCACCAAACACACGGTGGCAAGGGGGAGAGGCCAGCTTGGAGAAACAACCCAGACGTCCGTGTCCAGGTGTGGTATGGCTCATCTTGAAGTAGGTGACGCAGCCTGTTAAGGAAAGGAAAGAGTTAACAGAGGGCCAGTCACCCAAGCTAGCCAGGGCAAAAGGGCCAGGTACATTACCTCTTTAGCCCTCCAACTGTATGCGCTCCACCACCTCCCCTGCGAGTGCGCTGGAGTTAACTGCACCGCTCTCAAGTGCCTTGAAGTGCACAGGTCAGGAAAAGATTCCCTTTCTCTGCCAACAGGTGGCACTGTTGCCTCTCCCCAAACCCATCAATACTCTGAACATCGAAGAGCAAACTCTGGCCAGGCAGAGCACAACATGCTAAAACCGAACAGAAAGGCAGCAGGCCCTTTAGGGGCCAGTGCGCTCCCTACCCCACAAACCCCCGCTCACCAGAGTGAAGCTGTCATAGATGTGAATGAGTTCCTCCGTCTTGTACTGCTCGAGGACCACGACGCCGTGGAGGGAGGAGCTGCGCTTGCGGGCACAGGCCTCGCAGTGCACCAGGTAGGTGTTCTTGCTGCCGTTCTCGCTGGTCACAAAGAGGATGTTGAAAGGGGGGGGGGGGGGGGGGGGAGAGACACAATCCTATGACCATCTCTCCCATAGGATAGAGGTCCTGTCCCACCCGGGTAGGGCTACGAGCCTCCAAATGGGAAATAACAACGAACAACAAACACTGCGACACGAATGACTAGGACATTTACTAAAGATCATGTTGTATAATAAGGCAACTTTGCAAAATAACAAGGTTACTGTTACTGTGTCCAGTTTTGGGCACCACATTTTAGAAAGGATGCTGACAAGCTCGAGCGTGTCCAGAAGTGGGCAACCGGGATGGTGAGAGGGTTGGACTCCAAGTCTTATGAGGAAAGGCTGAAAGAGTTGGGTCTGTTTAGCCTGGGAAAGAGAAGGCTTAGAGGGGACAGGATTGCAGTCTTCAAGTATTTGAAGGGGTAGAAGATGGAGCAGATCTATTCTCTCTTGCTCCGGATTGCAAGACTAGATCTAATGGGTGGAAACTACAAGGGAGTCGACACCGGCTCAATATTAGGAGAAACTTCCTAACTGCCAGAGTGGTTGAGCTGTGGAACAGACTGCCTTGGGAGGTGGTGGACGCTCCTTTGCTGGGTATGTTGTAGGGCTCTCTTTCGGCTACGCTCCTGCAGAGTGCAGGGGGTTGGACTAGATGACCTGCAAGGTCCCTTCCGACTCTAACATCCTACGATTCTATGAACAGTCCACCATACTCTCAATACAACTTTACAAAATTACAAGGAAGAGTCCATCATACTCAATTACAAAGAAAGTCCACCATACTCAGCGAGCACCTGGATATAAACTCATTTCATCCCAATCTTCCCCAGGAGTAATCCCATTGAATAGCAAGGCCTCAGCCTCCTGATGCAGTTCAATGTCTGTTAGGAGCAAACCAATGCTTAACTTCTTCCTTATTTTCTGCACTTTATCTCGAGGTCCCGTTTCGGTGTTCGTATTAGGAGCAAGCCAGTCCTGTCTCTTTAACTAGGTGCACAGGCCTCCCATTTTACGCTGGCTGAGATGCTCTCCACGAAAACACTGTAAAATAGTAGTAGCACCCAGTCCTCTTTTCTTCTGACTTGGAAGCCAGTTTGGTGCCGTGGTGAAGTGTGTGGACTCTAATCTGGGAGAACCGGGTTTGATTCCCCACTCCTCCACTTGCAGCTGCTGGATGACCTTGGGCAAGCCTTAGTTCTGTCAGAGCTGTTCTCTCAAGGACAGTTCTGGAAAGAGCTCTCTCAACCCCACCTGCCTCCCAGGGTGTCTGCTGTGGGGAGGGGAAGGGAAAGGAGTTTGTCAGCCGCTCTGAGACACCTTTGGGTAGTGAAGGGCGGGGTATAAATCCAATCTCTTCTTCTTCTTGAATTTTGAATGTGGCTGGCAAAATGTCCTAGTCATTCAAGACACAGTGTTGGTTGTATTTTTGACATGGATACCTGTGGACCCCCCCCCTTGGTTTCTTCAGCCTCCAGGTGGGGCCTGGGGATCTCCCCCGAATCGCAACTGATCCCCAGGCTGCAGAGATCAGCCCCCCCCTGGAGAAAACGGCTGCTTTGGCGGGTAGACTCTACTGCATTATACCCTGCCGAGGTCCCCCCCCCCCCCCAGGCTCCCCCCCCCCAAATCTCCTGGAATGTCCCAGTCTAGAGAACCCAACTCCTGCGATCACCCGTCTGAGCAGTCCCCGTCCACTGATTCGCTACCTGCATTTAGAGTTTGTCATCCTCAAGACGACTCAAGGCAGATTATGAAAATAACCGGGGTGGGGGGGAGCATCTACAGACTTTCAGAACGACACTGCTTTTGCAGAAACGACCCCCTAACCAGTTATGTCTTGCAGATTTCCTAACACAAAATTATACTCCTGGCGGAGTTAACCCACAAGGTATGAAAACAAAGGCAGACACCTCCCTTTCCCGCTCGCCCCACTAAGCGCCTGACCCCTGCCTCCCCCCACGAGCCAACTCGCCGGGTCCGAAATCCAGGTCCCCCCCCCAAATTCCTTTGTAAATCACAGGTAACTTTTAGCAGAGGCGGGATGCGTAGTTCCGCCTCCCCCCCTCCTTTCCTCTCTGTTTTTAAATTTAGACCATAAAGCGGCTTTCCTTCCCGAGTTCCTGTTACAGTTTCTGCAAACAACCCCCCCACACACACACACAAATCTTGCATAGTGGATCTCCAGGACAACAGACCCTGAAGCTCTAAAGTCCCGCAATTTTTATTTAAAAAAAACAACAACACAAAGCAAATACTGAACCTCACACCCAAGTGAGAAACCTCTGCAGGGAGGTATCTACAAGAGGCAAATTAGGGATTGTTCCTTTCTTTGACGGCTCTCGCACACACACCCCACCCCACAGGGTTAAACAACACAGCTGTGTTCAGACACAGTGGGTGACCAGGGCAACCGGTTGTTTTCAGTGCCCACGATCCGGACGGCACCCCAGCCCTTTCACCTTCTCTGGAGTCAGCTCCTTCACAGGAAACAGGGTATGTGAGAGGTCATCCAAATGCAAAACAACAGGAAACGGGCTGAAGGGAACACATGAAGATGACCTCTGGCCGGAAACTTGTCTGTAGACGGGCTTAGATTTATAACGGCCCAGCCCAAAAAAGGGTAGAAGTTTATCACCGCCCCGGCCAAACACAATGTCCGCAGGCACCCTGGGGGCCGGGCACGAGCCCTGATCCGACTTCCCAGACTGGAGACCCTGCTCAGGCCTCTGGGTACCCATCCCGCTGCTTCCTCAGCCGGATTCTCTGGACGCCTCATATAGAGGATGTTCCTCCACCGATCTGTGACCTCCCTCTAGTGGAGAGTCCTGAAGTCCCCGTTCCAGAGCGCTGGCCTTCACAGAGCTAGATGTTAGGCTCGGGCCACCTCAGAGGTGAACAGAGCCAGTTTGGTGTAGCGGTTAAGAGCGCGGACTCTAATCTGGGAGAACCGGGTTTGATTCCCCACTCCTCCACGTGCAGCTGCTGCTGTGACCTTGGGTCACTCGCAAGTTCTCCCAGAGCTGTTCTCTCAAGGGCAGTCCTCTCAAGGGCTCTCTCAGCCCCACCTCCCTCACAGGGTGTCTGTCGTGGGGAGGGGAAGGGAAAGGAGTTTGTAAGCCGCTCTGAGACTCCCTTGGGTAGTGAAGGGCGGGGTACAAATCCAGTCTCATCTCATCAGCTCAACAAGATTTTTAGGACACAAGGTCTCCAGAGTCAAAGCTTCGTATCTAACCAAGAAGCTTTGGTCCTTGAAAGTTCATGCACCAAAAATCTTGTCCTGTATCGCCTTGGCGTCGAACAGGCTTTCCGGGGGAGGAGCTTTCAGGAGTCAAAACCCCCTTTGTCATATGCAAAGAGGAATGGCGATTCATAAGAACACAAGAGAAGCCAATGTTGGATCCGGCCAGTGGCCCATCCCGTCCAACACTCTGTGTCCCACAGTGGCCAAAAATACCAGGGGCCATCAGGAGGTCCAGCAGCGGGGCCAGGATACTAGAAGCCCCTCCC